CTTTTGACTGGTACTGTACTATAATACACACAAAGAATATCGGCCGATATATCGGTATCAGCCTTTTTTTTACTCCCTAATATCGGTATCGGCCCCAAAAAACCCATATCGGTCGGCCTCTAATTTTAATACTATGCTCTGACATATATTTATCTTATGGTCTTTTAGCTTAAATAAAGTCTGTCTGTATTATTGATATATGTGTAGTCTAATATAGTATAGTTTAGGGATGCACGATATATCGGCCACCATATCGGTATCGGCCGATAAATGCTCATTTTTTTCTGTTATCGGTATCGGCCTGATAAGAAAATTTGGCCGATATCTTAAAGCCGATAAATAATGCATTATTTCCTTCAGAGACACTTCAGATGCGCGCTGTTCGTTTGCAGCCTTTTGTGCAATTGTACATTGTAATATTGTGTTTATTTGATGTATATCTGATTTATCTCATATAGAATGCGTTTGGTTAAGTTAAAAAGAGCGCTTCAGTTTACCGGTGATCATGCATCTGAGAACAGCAACCCATCAAAATAAAGTTTGATGGTTTACCATAAAAATAAAAAAAAAAACGAGAAATTAAGACGTAAATATAATTTTTTTTTACATTTTACTCTAAAATGAAAATTTTTATTTTTTTTACATGTTTTTTTTACAGTATTATCATATATTTATTGTTTTAATGTATTATTAATATTATTTTAATTAATTATTTTAATTTAATAATACTGCAATAATCGAAATATTATAATCCGTAATCACAATAACAGTGGGAATGTGGCCTATGAAAACTCAAGATTTTTTTTTTAACTCTGAAATTGTTAGGTTTGATTTGGTTATTGTAAACAGTAAACCCAAATATGAACTAAATAAAATAATTAAATACAATTAAAATAAAATTAAACAAAATCACCCTAACCCTAAAATTATTAATTAATTCTAAATCTAGCTATTCGATTAATCTGCTTAAAATTCCTGTTTTTTTTTTTGTTTTTTTTAAATAGCGATATGTATCAGAGAAAAACAAAATATCACAATGTCAGTTTTTAAAGTGTAGCCCTGTTACGCTATGAATAACAAGTTTATGTGTGAAAAATGTCATACAAGTTTGCTCTGGCTGTTTAAAAACACCTGAAACCTAGAAAAGCAAATAAAGGAATTAAAATGATTACAGTTTCAATTCCTTGTCACTAAACACCATGCAAAAGCTTCTGTGAAAATCGTATGACTATTTAAAGAGGTAAACACTGAGACAGTTTGATAGCTCACGTTTCAGTACAGTGTGAAAAGGCCTTAATTGTAATCCAAGTTTCATGTTTGCAATTTTTCTTGAATTATTCTATTCTTGAGACAGTGCTGTGGGTCTCACTGCATTGTTTATGCTCTTTAGGGAGATGCTGAGAGACCCAGAAATGAGGAATAAGTTAATTTCCAACCCAACAAACTTCAACCATGTGGTTCATATGGGCCCGGGAGACGGGATCCAGATCCTGAAAGATCTGCCAATGGTAGGAGCAGCTAACAGCAGGGAGAACGTCACCTCTCATATTCTTCTTCCGCTTCTCTACGCCTCCATCCATCTGTTTCTAAGAGCTGTTTTAATGAGCATGAGCCATCTTTTGTTAATTATGTTCACTTTTATTATTTGCGTTTTATAGATGAGCTTGCTTAAAAGACAACATAAAACCACATTTAACTTTTTTAATGTGAAGTTGCACAGGTCAAGAAGTTACGGCAATTTTATTTCCTTTAGAATAACCCACATTTATGAAATCGGGTCAATTTGGCTTTCATGTTGTCTTTTAAATGACCTCACCTCTTCCTCTTCTTATTTACACCATTACTGAGCAGAAAACTGTTGCATGCATCTATATTTTTTCTTTCTTTTTCCTCCATTTCTCTCTCTATATCTGCTCCTCCTGGGTTTCCGCTGTAGCCCGGTTCTCTTCTCCCCTCTCTTCATCTGAGCCTCATCTCCACCCCTACAAGCTTTGAGCATGTCTATCACATGACTGTCACCTCTGCTGACAACTTCCTGTCCCAGGACTCCTCCCCTCTCTCCTCCTACTCCCTGTCCCTCAGCTCCGCCCCTGGGACCCTTGCCTCCATCTGCTCTTTGGTAGGACCAGAGAGACATACACGGACACACTCCATCTGTTCTCTGAAGAGGATGAGTTTATGCCCACACGCATTAGCTCACTTTCATATTGTTGAAACAAATCTATGTTCCAATTATCACAGTTACATGTAATATTCTCAATTTACAATCTGTCTGATTCTTGCATGCTAAATCATTCCTCCCTTCATTTTTTTATTTTTAAGCATTATTATTAAATGTATATATTGACAATTAAAAAAAAATTTATGACAAATAAAATTTGTTTTTATATTTTATTAATATAAATTATATTGTTAATATATATATATATATATATATATATATATATATATAAATATATATATATATACTTCCAAACTTTTTTTTTTTTTTAATGTTCTAACTTTAAAACATTCTTTTTGAATTTTCAAACACTCTATTGAACTTTCGAATGCTCTTTTTGAACTTTCAGATGTTCTTTTGAACTTTCGAATTTTGCATTTATTGACATTGGGCCAGACATAGTGTTGTTCGAACTTTTCAGGTTCCCAAATTTAAGTCAGTGTCTGTTCCATATCCCAGGCTCCTCTTCTCAAAATGGCAGTGCACTGAGACGGGACCTTTACGTTGGCAGCTACGGTTCCACCAAACGGCAGATGACGTCACCGTCTGATGGCTCGCTGTCATCCGGAGGAGGCATGGACTGCGGGGGTGATGCTCCCCTGTCCCAATTTGACAGAGAGGTCAGTACCAGCAACGATTGTCAGTGCCCGCTTTTCAAGATGCCTTCGTTTCTGAAAGGGATTTTTAAAAAGAGAAAACATATTTTAAAGTACCTTAACGTATTTGAAAAGCTAGACTTGTTTATTGCTTAAAAATATGGTTCTCTATGGATAAAATAAATACTGCTGAGATCTGTAGTCACGTGAAAATATTTCGATTTTACAAGTGACAAGTCCGGTGGGATTTCAAAAGGTGTGAATGTTGATTTAACATGTTCATTCGACCTCCAGACTGATCAAAGCAGGTAAAAGTTTCACTCCTGGAGCACTCTGTGATGCTGATCACCGCTAAAACTCCATAGAGAGCACTAGAAGTGTGTTATACAATTCCAGTACACAGGCATCCGTTCTGTTTCACCTGCCAAAATGTGTTTGGAGGGTCTCTATCTTCTCTTTCTCACGCTATATGCATGTGTTGAGTGTGTGAAGTGACACCATATCCACAGATTGAGGTGTTGACCTGCTAACACTCCTCCTACACACACACACACACACACACGCAGTCTGCATCTCAGCCCCACGTTTGACTGTGAGCACATTAACTCCATAATGACGTGTGGGTGCTGTGTGTGACTCTTTAGTGTCCAGGAGTGTCACCCACAGAGAAGACTCCTGATCTGAAAAGGGCTTTAAGGACACTGCTTAGTAAGCTAAAGGTAACATACATGATCCTGCTCCCCCAGATCTGAACCCTGTAGCTCTGTCCTAGACCTCAGATGAAGGAAATGGGTTAGTTGAGTTGTCTCCTTGTTAAAAGCGTGTTTGATCTGTGTAGGTGGTGGAATTGTACAGCGTTTGCTTGCTTTAGTAATAGCATTAATGTATCACGTAGCACCTTTTATCCATCCACTTTATATTATGTAGAGGAGGATTGATGTTGTGGTGGTTCAAGCTAGTAATAGACCATTTAATGGGCTGCTGTTTGGGTATTTAGAGATGATCACGTCAACCAATAAATGTGCCAACAGCTAAGGAAATGGATAAATATTTTCAGATACGATTTTAGTAAATTTTAAGTATGCAGTATGCATACTTTATGCAGTAAAGTGTCTTATTTTTTGCAATTTTGATAGGTAATTTGTATGTCTGTGAGTTTAACACGTTAACTTACGAAAGTTATGAAAAATAATGCGATTAAAATATTTTAACGCAGTTAACGCACTTACCCCGCCCACAGACCTGTACGTCATCTTACATTTCATACAGTTGACTGTTGACAATATGATTCAGGACAACAACTCCTTAAATGCAGTTATGCCCTAAAATGCAAAAAATGCCCCTGTATGAGTTTTTGTCTAATTTTTATATCATATGATAAGCATATCACACCAGCAACGAGTGCTGTTTTTGTCACGAAGAACACGTGCAAGTGTGATTTTATACAACACTTTAGTAAATAAGAAAGTTGACTGTTGACAATATGATTCAGGACAACAACTCCTTAAATGCAGTTATGCCCTAAAATGCAAAAAATGCCCCTGTATGAGTTTTTGTCTAATTTTTATATCATATGATAAGCATATCACACCAGCAACGAGTGCAATATCACAGGAGTGCTGTTTTTGTCACGAAGAACACGTGCAAGTGTGATTTTATACAACACTTTAGTAAATAAGAAGTTAATATTGTGCTATATTTTAGACACAATATTGTGGTTTTGTTCAATTTTGCCAATGAAAATATTACCTATAAAGCCACAGCAGAACTGCTTTGCGTCTCCGAGCAACACAGCGATGTTTAGTTTCTGAATGAATCCACGTTTTGAACGAAGCGTGTGAACCAATGATTCAAAAGCCCATTCACTAAAACAGAACCGTTTTTCTGAATTCCTGAATGAATCAGCCGTTTGAACGAATCGACTCATAAAGACATTTACCACCACCTGCTGGTAGTTTTAGTTTCTTCTTTAGGGTATAATTTCATTTATTAAAAAAATAAATAAATAAATTGTCATTTACTCACCCTCATGTTGTTTCAAACCTGAATGACTTACTTTCTTTTGCACAACATAAAAGAAGGTATTTTGAATACTGTTGGTAACTAAGCTGTTTTGGTCACTAGTGACTTTCATTGCATGAACAAAAAATACTGAGATGTTTCTCAAATGATCTTCTTTTATGTTCCATACTTTATGTTAGGCCACTGTAGCCTAAACATTTAAAACAATAATAGCTTTAAATTATCTTTTGGGGGTATTTTCACAGCCATATTTAGTTTGCGCAGCACCCTGTAATTAATTAGATTCAAAATTTTAATCGACTGACAGCCCTAGTAATTTGTTCTCTAGTTCTAACTTTTGAATATTTATACCACAGTTACAATATTTATCTTTGAATATTACAGATGGACCAAAATTGTCACAGCTACAGCTAACCAAGAAATTAGTGATGTTGAGTATTTGATTTTTTTTTTCTTTGCGTATTAATATTTTTAGTGGTTTCGCTTTTTTTAGTGGAAGAATTTAGAGAGACAGGTTCATAAGAGGTTATAGCAGACCAGTGAGATTTAACATGGTACCACCACCTCAGTGAAGTTTCTTAAAATTCCTCATCTTTAAAGCACTGTCACTGCAGCCTTCAAAGCAATACTTGTAATGAATTCAGCACCTTCAGTAATACATTTCAAGGCAGTTACTGTTGGACATCAAATCTTTTGAAGTGAGCAATATTATGCAGAAACCACTTTTTCTTAAGTTTTTTTTAATTATTATTTCTTAATGTTTTTGAAAGAAGTCTCTTATGCTGTATGTATTTAATCAAAAATACAGTAAAAACAGTAATTTTCTGAAATTAATACAATTTAAAATAACTTTTCCATTTTAATATATTGTAAATTGTCATTTATTTCTGTTGCAAAAGCTGAATTTTCAGCATCATTACTCCAGTCTTCAGTGTCTCATGATCATTCTAATCATTATGATGTGTTGATTTGCTGCTCAAGAAGCATTTCTTATTACTAATGTTGAAACCTGTTGTGCTGCTTTAATATTTTTGTGGAAACCGTGACGCATTTCAGGACTTTAGGATTTTCAAGATTCTGAAAAATATGAATATAAAGAAAACAACAGCATTGTTTTTTTGTAACATTGTAAAATTTTACTCTCACTTTCAATCAATTTAATGCACCCTATTTACTAAATAAAACTATTGATTTCTTTCTTTAAAAAAATCTTGCTAACTTCAAACTTTTGAACTGTATTTATTCTAATTACTCATATGTGTGTCTAGTCACATGACCCCATACAAGCTTCTTTAACTCTATCTCGTCATTCAGACAATTCACTCACTTTGAAAATGTCGTTTTGAACATCTCTATTTAACATGCTTATAAGCACATCATTGATTCGTTTTGGCCTGAGAAGACTGATGTTTAACCAAAATAGCCAAGAAAACCTAAAATCTACAGAATTAAAACAAAGCTTTGTCACTAACTTTTCCCTCTTCTCCTTCCTTTAGGACTCAGACTCTCCACGTCACTCCACAGCCTCCAACAGCTCCAACCTGAGCAGCCCACCGAGCCCTTCATCACCACACAAGAGCAAGACTCAGTCTCTGGAGCGTGGTGAGCACCTGGGCTGGGAGACATGAGCTCTGCCCCTGCCCACTTCCTTCTGACTTCCTGTGGGGCCCCGAGAGAGTCACGCATATACCCAAGACCGAGAGCCGGCTCCTTATACATCATATTCCTAAACACGCCGCTGGGCCCAGGTGTGTGTGTGTGTTTGCGTGTATTGGTGTGCATATGCATTACACGTGTGATTGTTGTACACACGCACATTACTGTGCACCTTACATCCCTTTTGAGTGGACCCATCACCACTGTTCCTGTTCCTGTGTTGGATGGGGGAACAGACCACTGAGTGTAGCTTATCACCTACCACCACCGGTGTGGACGGGGTCGAAAATGACAAACACAGAGCTTTAACGTGAATTTATCAGTGTATGTTGACAGGTGTGCCTCATCTAACACAAGAAAAAACATGCATTCAAAAGTCTTAATGGGGGGATGTTTCTTTAAACGCATAACACTAAACATCATGAAAACATTAATCGAGGATCATGGAAAACTGTTCCTGGCATTCCAATCCATGTGATAAAACATGAACACTTCAATTGAGTTCAGCCCCAATAGATAGAGTGGCACTACTGTATAACTCAGCCTCTACCCTCCAGTGCCATGCTGACCTTCACAGTCAGAGGTCAGAGTTCAAAAATTGATTTTGAGTTCAATAATGTAAATAGAATTTAAGTAGAGTATAATATATAATGAAATCAACACTATTCTGTTGTTAAATAAGTGACTTTGCTTTGAGAGAGTCTTCTTTCCTTTTTATTTTCCATGTCAAGGTTCTAGTCAATTATGCAGAAATGTAAATTTAAGCATTATTTTGTCAAGATATATGCTAGTTTTTCATAATTCCACTAAAATTGTCAAGACTTGCAAGGGAACACTACAAAAAAACATTGGACCTCATTCATAAAACACAAGAATAGTTTTTGTGTAAATTGTTCGTAAAGCCATTCTTATGTACAATTTTCCATCGAATATGACGTAAACAAGCTTGCAGTGAAATTGTTCATAAAAACATTGTGTAAATTGTTGCATTAAACATTCACATTCATAAAATCGGTTTGTATATTCTTGAACTGAAAGCAAGGTACATAAGGCCACAGCGAATTGTTCATAAAACTATTCTTGTAAATTGTCACATTGCATGCCAGATTTACAAGCTCGCAATAACATTTTCTAAAACCTTTCTTGCGTAAATTGCCGCATTAAATGCAAGATTCACAAGCTTGCAATAACATTTTATAAAACAATTCTTGCATAAATTGTCGCATTAAATGCAAGATTCACAACTCGCAATAAAATTTTATAAAACCGTTCTTGCATAAATTGTCGCATTAAATATAAGGTCTCCACAGTGAAATTGATCTCAAATCAATCATACGTAAATTGTCGTTTAAACAAGACTATCATAAAATAGTTTGAAATAATTCTTGAGTAAATTGTTGCATGGAATGTGAAATTGAGAAAGCTACAGTGAAAATATTATTGTGTACACTTGCATTAAATACGACATTCATGAGGGCGGCAGTCTTAAATTTAGTGCATCGTTGAATGGAATTTTAAATCAAGCAATATTTAACATTTAACAAAACTGACGCAAGAATGTTTTCTAAGAACGATTTACATGAATGCAGTTTCCTCGTGTTTCATGAACGTTGTTGCATATTGTGAGTAAGATCTATCATTCTGAGAAATCAAGATGCGTACATCGCTAAATCCATATTAAACACTCAAAACGCGTACAGTCATGTGATCATAAATAAGCTGTTGTGCTGAATGTAACAGAGATTCACTGCAGCCTTGTTCATGTTACTCTTGCCTACATCTGTGCTTCACACTTCTGTTACCAAAGCAATAATGCTGTTTCCAAAGAGGTTGTTTTCTTTAAATATTAATGTTAATTATTATTCTTTTAGTATTTTAATTTGTGTTTTATAGTTTTGTTTTCCAACTCCCAAGAACCAAACTTTGCCTAAGGTGTATACATGTGAATATAACACGTAGTGTAACCTGGACCACTAGATTCAGAGCGTTTAATGTTTGTGCAACATGGAGAAACACTAAACTCATCAGGTGAAGCATTTAAAGGGCTTCAACGCTTCAAACTCACTTGTGCATATAGCGGTTGCCTCTTCCTCTAACACTCATAATGACTCAACAGGGACCCCAAGGACCAGCAGGAGATTAGGTCATTTGATATTAATATAAATGAATCGAGGACGTACAGTAAAGCTGCTGTAGTGATGTTTTAAACATGCAGGGTCAGACTATCAAACATCCCTGAACCTCAGAATACCTCAGATTAGAGAGCAAAGCCATTACGACTCCAACAGAACCTCATCAGCGCAACAATTGTAGCTGTCCCTCCGTCCGGTTTCATACACTAATTGGCATTTAGGAATTATTCACATGCACTACTGCTCGCTTTTGCGAAGCATATTTATATCAGATTAGATTTCTTTAAAACACATTATGCAGATTCAGACTCTTGTATATCTAGATGCTGTTCTGAATTCCTAAATATTCCAGATTGTTTTTAGTAATAGCTCACTCAAAAATCAAAATGTACATTTACTCACTCATTATGTTGTTGCAAACCTTTATAGCTTGCTTTGTCCTATAAAGTTAGGCTAAAAGTAGTCAGATTATTATATATATTATATTAAATGTGTAATGTAATGGATAACATTGTTGACTCCAATTTTTCATAAAGTAATTTGGAATCAGTAATGGACTACACTTTGCAAGTAATCTACCCAGCCCGTTTTAAAAAAAAACAAAAAACAAATGTTACTTGAATTTAAAAGCATTAAATATTGCTGAAAATGCTGCATAAAAATATAATATAAAAATATAACAAGAGTAAGTCATGGGTTTGGAATGACAGAATTTTTTTTTTTTGAGTGAACTATTCTTTTTAAAGTATGCTGAAAAAAATGAATGACCTTTCAGTATTGAAGCACACCCAAGTACAGAAGTAATGAAAGTTTGTGCATATGTTTCTACACATTCAACAGATAGCCACGGTTAAAGTGCTATATTGTTCCTCATTAGTAAAGTGGACAGAAGAATCGAGCATGGAAATCAAGTGTACTCTGGGAAACCGAAGGCAAAGGTACAGCAGAAGCAGTAACAGCGATCAGAAAAACAGCTTTTACAAAGCTCAGGTCCAAAGTCACAGGTTTAGGCACTGAGTACCACTGTAATCTCATCCAACACGTAAACAAACACTCGACTTCACTTTAAAGCGTTGTGAAACAGCACGATTCATAAATTCAACACGTTTCTATGTTCCATTAACATGGTGCATGAGCTTGTAGAAACGGCCTGCTGAAATATTCATGAAGCAACGTTAGAAAAAAAAGCACCATTTACAAAGCTTAAGACTCCTGTACACATGGGCGGAAAAGCATCTGCATGTAAGATGATGTTCTGAAAGACAACTTAATCTTAATTCTGTAATGTGACATGAGTGTGGGGAGGGCAGAGCGATCCGATGTGATGAGGTAGGCAGCCGTCAAGCGGCCGAACAAAAAGCACATCAGGTGTTGGTGAGGATTCTGGTACGTCATTCCTCCATGCATTCTCAACCAAACTACCACCAGAAACTAAATACAGCTTGCTAGAGGCACAAAACCGCTGATCCTCCCTCTCGTGGAACCATCCTTCGGCTTTCAAGGGTTTGAAACCTGATCTCTAATGGGACAGTCATCAGTCTTGAAGCGTCGGTGATCCATTAACTCTTTAAACCGGGTTGTGTGATGGGAAAAATCTCCCATCGGACAGCTGCGGCCCATCCTGACGCTGCTTTATCACACATGCAGTAAACTTCATCCAGCAGAACTTCACAGTATCTAAGAAAACATATCTTGTTACTCAGGTGCGCCACTAATGGGACAAATCCCGAGGACGGCTCTGTCAACACACATGTCTCTCGAGTTTCTGATTCCCCTGCTGCTGCCAAAAACACATGTCTGATCGCATCATATGACCCCTTTAATATAAATGTTAACATTTACATTTAGTCATTTAGCAGACGCTTTTATCCAAAGCAACTTACAAATGAGGACAATGGAAGCAATCAAAATCAACAAAAGAGCAATAAAATGCAACTGCTATGACAAGTCTCAGTTAGCTTAAAGGGGTCCTATTATGCTTTTTCACTTTTTTAATTGTAGTCAGTGTGTAGTGTGTATGTTTGGGCATAAAAAAGATCTAGAAAGTTACAAATCTCAAAGTCCACTCCAAAGGGAGATGTTTTGTTTAAAAAAAAATCCCATTTCAAGAACTACAACGAACGACTCGTTTGGACTACAGTGTTTGTTTCCGGGCTTTGTGATATCACAGAGCGGCTCATTAGAATATCATTAAAAATTATTCCCGCCTACAGATATTGGAATGGTTGGGGGGTGGGGAGGGGCGAGGTTGTGGTTAGAACACTTTTTTCACCTCCGTGCCCAAACGTCTTTGTTTGGGCTTCCGAAAGCGGATGATGTCAGTAAACAGTGGTTGCAATTTATTTTTTAACTGTCCCTGAGCATTATAACCCCAATTTGCTATTGTGTGCTGCGCATTTTACTGAGGACAGCTTCCACTACATGAGGGAGTACAGTGCCTGCCGGATTCTCCAAAAAGTTTTTGTTGAAAGATGGAGCAAGGGGCGTGGCAGTACTGAAACACCGTCTAAGCTGTTCGCCAATCACAACGCACTGGGACAGCTAACCAATCACAACACATTTTGTTTTTCGGAAGGTGGACCTTCATCAAAGCCGGAACTAATCGAGCCGTTTGTGCCAGGATGGGGAGAGAGGTGTTGTAATAATGTAAATTATGTGAAAAATAATGCGTTTTTCGAACCACCAAACATGAGAGCATGTTCTAGTACACCCCCAAAACAAAATCAAGACTTTGTAAAAGAGCATAATAGGACCCCTTTAATGCAGTACACGTAGCAAGGTTGTTGTTTTTTTAAATTATATAATAAATAACAAGAAAACAGATAGAATAATGAAAAGGAATGGATAGAATAGAATTGAAAAAGAATAGAGAATATTTTTAGAAAACAAGCAGTTAGTAAATGAATAGAGTACAAGTCTAAATGGGGCAAGTTTTTTTAAACTTGTAAGTTTTCTTTAAGTTTTTTGTTGTTGTTGGTATTTATATTATTTAGATATTACGTATAACAACAAAAAGGGGAAACTTAATCCGTGTCAGTTTAGCGGAAACTATTATATAATAATATTCACCAGATAATATTTTACACATTTATCATTTTCTTTTCCACAGTATCTGTGCCTCAATTTTAGAAAGCTTTTTGAAATGAAATAGTTGATGGCAGTAAGTACATTACAGTTCAATACAATGTCTATTGTTCTTCGTCTGACAAACATATTCTTGTACTTACAATAGCACTTGATGATGTCTAGTTTCAAGTGAAGTGAAGTGAAGCAGAATGAGGAAGGTACTGTAACTCACTCTTTCCGCCTGCGGCCCTGGAAGAAGCCGGCCCACTCGAAGCAGGTCTTCTTACTGCCCACCCAGAACACCGACGGGATCCCAACCACCAGCAGCATCAGGTACTTCATGAGGAACAGGACGAGGTCAGGCCTGCTGGTCTGCTCCACCTACACACAGAGATGATGATCATCATCAGTCCTCTGGAAGAGCTGATGCTTCCCTCAGGCTCTCACACACTCACTGCAGACCTCATCCACAGCACTCAGCACACTTTAGTACTGCAGCCTTTATTACAACTCTTTTGACAGCTTTTTCAGTGATCTTTTAGTATCATTGATACTAGGGATGTAACAATTCACTCAACTCACGATTCGATTCACGGTTTTCTTTTAACAAAATGAGACTTAGGACAAATTAGAAATTAAATGTGTCCTTTTATTATTGCTTGGACAAAATACTGTACATTTCTTTGTGAAATTGGAATATAACACTATAAAAATATACTAATATAGCACTTGTATATTATTGCTCTTTGGTTGGTTTTGATTGCTTCTATTGTCCTCATTTGTTAGTCGCTTTGAACAAAAGCGTCTGCTAAATGACTAAATTTAAATATAATGTAAATGTAAATAACAAAACTGAATTTTTGACATTTTAAAACAAGCCCCAAATCAAATAAATAAGTAACACAAATAAAAGAAATCTCTTCATATAAACAAACCAAGGCTTTGTCTGTGCTCTTTCCATTTAAAATGAGAGGCAACCACTGCATTTTAATCATGATCCAAACAAAGATGCTGCATAGATGCAACATGAGCAGTTTTTAATCTAAATTAGATTGTATAATTTCAAAATTTGAAGCAAAAACAGAATGGTTTGACTTCAGTTTTGTGAAACTATACATAAAAATATCTGCATGAAACCGAAACAGCAGACAAGCTGAACGAGACGCAGATTCACTCTCTGCCAGCAGGTGGCGCTTAAAGCGTTTCCTGGTTTCCGCTGTAAACAAAGCAGCGCTGCACTTATGAACTTTAATATGCATTATACAGAGGCAAGATGAAAAGAAAAAATACCATCGAAAGACAGTAAGTTCCCCTCAGACATGCATTCATATAAACTCCTACCCCTAAATGAATCACGATTTGTTTAGCATCTCAACCGATTTGAATCGTCACATATTTTAATCGATTTTCAACCGGCTCGCGGTTAATCATTACATCCCTAATTGATACTATTAGTATTTTAGTTAATATTTTGAAACAGATTTTATTTTTGAAGTTTTCATTTTAATGTTATAGTAATTTTGTTGCTTTTTATTTTAGTATTTTTGGTTTTAATTTGAAAGTTTTAATTAGTTGTATAAGTTTAATTGTCTGTATAGTTTTTAAGTTTTAGTTTAAGCCATTTTAATATTTTGTGTTTTCATTTTAATTTCAAATGTTTTAGTAATTTTGTTGTGTTTTTTTAACATATCTATATAGCTTTTATTTGGTCATTTTTTTTATTTGTTATTTTAGTATTTTGTTCATTTTATGTAATGTTTTCATTGTAATGTTGTAGCTTTGTTGTGCTTTTGTTCACTTTATTTTTGATGTCTATATTAAGTTTTCATTTTTAGTTTTAATATTTTCGGTTTTCATTTTAATGTTTTAGTAATTGTATTTTTATATAATTTTTTAAAATGTCTATAAAATTGAAGTTTTTGTTATTTTAGTGTTTTTTATTTATTTTAAATTGTAAAATTTTTAGTAATTTTGTAGTGTTTCTTTCATTATTATTATTAAATTTTTTTTAAATGTCTATATAGTTTTCAAGTTTTTAGTTTTAGTTATTTTAGTACTCCAATTTCAAAAATGAGAAATATTGCCTTGGCAACTTGCTGAAATAAAATAAGTATACGTTTTTCTTATTTTATTTCAGTTAATGTTTATTTCAAGTAATGAAAATGTTTTTTAATGATTTCAGTTTTAGTTAATGATGAAACCCTGATTCCCATACACCATCTACAAAATATAGATAAATATGGTTGTCACTTCTGTTTAATCTTCATTCTCAAATCTCCACAGTTTGCACATGGCCATTTTTCATCCCTGTAAAAGTGTGTGTGTTTAAACATGCGTGAGCTGGTGTGTGTATCTGTTGCTCACACACAATCCTGCTTTATCTGCAGAGCACAAGCCACAACAACAGCCTGTTCTTCTGCTCTTCACGCTCAACGCACCTGATGCTGCACTCATGCATACATCATGTCACAACACACACACACACACACACACACACAGGAAGAGAACATGTACAATCTCTGCAGGCGGTCGTCAGATGACATGGGATCAAATCTAACGTCTTTAAGGCACACATTAACATACACTAATACATATTCACAGAAAAATACGAATGTATGCTGCCTTCAAGACATGTCAGGATTATCATATTTACAAGGATAAAATCATCTGCGAGGAGCAGAAATAGGAGGAAAACTCAAAATGTACTTGTAGAGCGTGGAGCGTCATAGCAGGAAATGTGGATGCATCTATAATTCAAAGCAAATTGGTTCTAATTCAGTTTGCATGCAAACTACTACTATCAGTTTACTACTGATTAAGAATAGTCATAAAATCTGCAAGAAAATATGGATAGCATTTAACTGGTTTATGGCAAGCCTGCATTTGGAAGATACTTTTATTCAGAATGACTTTCATCGCTTTCAAGGTATACAAAAAATATATATTTGTAATGAAGAAATATATAAAACTAAGAAAGAAATATTAAATTGCTTTTAAGATGCACTGTGCAATCTGCTAAATTGTGTAAAATTTAAAGGGGATTAAGAGCGTGTGTGTGTGTATATATATATATATATATATAAAACATATATACACAGTATGTGTGTTCATTTTTATCATGAATTTTCATAATGTTATATCAATTTTAATTTTTATAATTAAAATATACAGTACATTTTTTATATTAAATATTACAGCAAAAGTGAAAAACGCAATATGCGGCAACTTAGCAGAAACTAAAAATTATCCAGATAATATTTTACACATTTATCTTTATTTTATTTTTTTAAACCGTATTAATGGCCGTTTATAAAGGGGTTCCTTTGCAAGGCAATAATCATACGTGGTGGTTTGTAGCAGAAAAATCTCTGAGCTTTCTGAATAAAATAAGAGCTTTCTGGGGTGAAATGCTGAGTTTGGACCAAACAAATGGTCCAACCATGAAAATAATTATTAATTAATAATTATCCCTTCTTAACTTGAAAACTGGAAAGCAACATTACTTCTGCTTAATTCCACACTGTTGAATTACTAAACATTATAATAAAGCCACACATTCACTTCCTTAGCATAAATCAGGATGTCTTCACATCATCAGATGCTAGCGGGGGAATGACAGACATCCTCCATCCTTCAAGTGCTTTACTTTCACAGAACAGCCGTGTGATCAGACTGAGTGCATTACCTCACAGACTCACACACAGAGCATCTCTCATGCAGAGCCAATCAAAGGCCTGGGCTTGTGTGAGTCAGTCTCTGTGCTGTGAGGTAATGACCGGTCTGAGCACCTTTAATAACAACAGGAGGGGGTCTGTCCTTCAGCATCACACGGATATCCCCTCGGCGCGACAGGGGCCGAGCCACCACCATACAGGCAGCACAGCGTGACTTAACAAGCCCAGTGATGAAAGACACCAAGAAAAAAAAAAACATGCATTGTATCTGAAAAGCAATCTTGCAAAACTACACCTGACACAGCGCTGGGCAACAGGAAATATATTACCTACAGAAAACACTGCTAATATAAAAATTCCACAAATATAAAAATGAGACAACACTATTATATATATTTATATAAAATATTCATATTAAATAAGTGTTGTCTAATTATATTGCCATTACATATATAATAAATATTACAAATATGATAAACTTAAATATTTAAAAATACATGTTATTAATATATTTTGACATTTGAATTAATTTATTAACTTTATATGATCTTAATATTTCAGTAAATATATGGCGACACATACTGGTGTTTATGGATAGATAGATAGATAGATAGATAGATAGATAGATAGATAGATAGATAGATAGATAGATAGATAGATAGATTACACACAGACTAGACAGAAAGACAGACAGACAGACTAGACAGACAGACAGACAGAAAGAAAGACAGACAAACTAGACAGACAGACAGACAGACTAGACAGAAAGACACTAGACAGAAAGACAGACAGACAGACAGACAGACTAGACAGAAAGACAGACAGACAGACAGACTAGACAGAAAGACAGACTAGACAGACAGACTAGACAGAAAGACACTAGACAGACTAGACAGAAAGACAGACAGACAGACAGACAGACTAGACAGACAGACTAGACAGACAGACAGACAGACAGACAGACTAGACAGAAAGACAGACAGACTAGACAGACAGACAGCAAGACAGACAGACACATTATTTACATATTTTAAAATACATTAATTATTTTGCATTATTATATTTTAAAATCTTATAAATGTAATATCTCAAGTATGAACATGAAATCCTCATGTTAATTTTTTTTTTAAACTTCAAGACAAAAAAAATAATTAAAAATACTTGTTTATAATAATACTTATTATAAACAATAATAAATTATTGTTTAATAATTTTTTTAAACAATAGAAATAAACTTTTTAAAATATTATCAAAAAGGCTAGAAATCTATTGTCGTATATAAATAGAAAATACATTTATAATAGTAAATAATTTAATAATATAAGATAATGCACAATATGCAATATATCTAATCATACCCATATATGAATATGATTTGTTTTTTAGGCATCTCACCTAGTCCTACCAAATCATATAGTGTTCTGCTGCTATAGTGCCAACTGGCTTCTATCAGAAAGTAAAGGCACTCAAAAGTTAATGCAGGCATTCATCTTACGAGGTGAAGCGAGAGAGCATGCGATGGTGAAGACGGAGAAGATCGCCGGAGGGGAGAGGAGAGAATTACTGCATCACGTGATGCTCGGATCCGTTTATGATCGTGTGCAGGGAGAGGCTGAGCGGCTACGGTTACACTGTAATAAAAATGCCTCATGCATCACTGCGCCGGATCGTATCTCACCATCCATTCACTGCACAACACAAAAGAACCCTTAACATTGATATCTGCAGCAAATGTGGGGCTTGCAGAAGGTTGCGATTACTACAATCATCTTCATTCAGTCAGCTACAGCAAAGCAGCGGTATAGTAAATCAATCAAACACTTCTACTGCCTCACCATTGGATGTCTCCATCTTCATAAAGATAATTAGAAACACTGGAGGAGGCTAACAGCTGAAACCAGGGGAGGACAAATTATGTGAAAAGTAGGAGGTACACATTATAAACCTCATCTGCCTCTCTTTGTGGTTTAATAAGCCTAGCTGCCAGAAACATTAATATGAGCGCTTAAAGACTAATATTTCCAGTAGAAATGTTATTATAAAGCCAGAACATTGATGCCACAACTTTGAATATAAAAATACATGCAATATGTTATATTACATACAAATATGTACAACCCTATATAACATACACAACCCTTCTTCTGTTGCTTCTCTTAAAATTACTGACAATATCAATAAGCCAATAACAATTTTCATGTTATGGCTGATATGACTGATACATATCCAATATGTATATTAATATTAATACTAATTCATATTTTATAAATAGTTTTCTAAATAAATTAAAAAGGAAACTAATTAAAACCAATCATTTTAAATATTACAATATAATAACTACATTTAGGCATATACAGTATGGAAAAAGGATGACTAAAACATAATTTAATAGTTTTATTAATTCAGGTTTTAATATAATATATTTAAAGAATATATCAGTTGACTATAAAAATACAGGGAATGATATTTATGTATTTATTCATTCAATCATTGGGTATTACTATTAGTTTATAAATTAATAATTTAATTAATGCATTAAGCTGATCAACAGTGACAGTGAAAATATAATATTGTTACAAAAGATATCTATTTCAGAAAAATGCTGAAAATTCAGCTTTGTCATAGGAATACATAATATTTTGAAATATTTTAAAATAGAAAAGAGTTATTTTAAATAGTGATAATATTGAACAATATTATTGTTTTTACTGAATGTTTGATCAAATACATACAAAATTATTTACATAATTTATTTGTATCAGTCTAATATTATTAGACTGATACAAATAAATGATGCAAATAATTTTGTAAAGTGCAAAAGTGGGGGGATTAATTTAAAGGGGTCATCGGATGCGACATGCACCGTTGAACTGAAATGTGTGTTGGCAGTGGGTGTACACAACCACCCTAGAATGATAAAAACCCACCTAGTTTTTTTTAATCTCGTTAAATCATTTCCCCTTTCTCAAATCGAGCCGATCTCAGATGCCTGTCTGTGTGACGTCACACAGACAGGCCCCTCCCACTATAGTTTGATTGACAGTAGCATTTCAGCACAGACTGGACTGGCGTCTTACCTTAGACCCGCCCTGAGTGAGCTATCATCAGTCCGCCAGTGTTTCACCGCCGGAGCAGATGTAGACAAGAATGACTCCATAGTGATTGAGGTCTTCTGTTGTTGGATGCAATAATGAACATAGCACTCGTCATTTACTCCCGACATCTGAGCCGCTGAAGACGCAGTGGATTATGTTTGTTTTTGAAGGGAATGCGCCCCCGATCTACATAAATGCGTCTATGTTCGCTATGTTCAGCTTCACCTCCAGAAGAAGTGAGTATAAGGTTTTTTAATTAATCTGTGCTAGTTAGCAAGTTTCGCGATGAATGCGGTTAAAGTTTACCATCTCTCAGAGAGCAGCATGGAAGAGAGGGGCGGGGCGAGCAGAGCTCATTTGCATTTAAAGCGGCATGCAAGAAAACCGCTTGCTGTAGACAGAGCTGTTTTTGACAGGGTAAAAGTATTGTTTTACACTACACCATTGAGAAATTTTAACAAAACTATGTTACAGACTTTTCATTAAGACCCAAAAGAATCATATCAACTTGTGGAAAATGGGCATCCGATGACCCCTTTAATAAAACTTGCAGAAGTAGAATTTAAATATAAAGTATGTTTGTGTGTTGATTTACCTGGAATGGGCAGGGTATATGGTAGTCTCTGCAGCGCTCCTGCACCCATGTGGTCTCCCAAATAGAGCGGTATGTCTGTTCATACAGGTAACAGCCCACCACGGTCAGCAGCGGCACCAGATACAGCACCGAGAACACGCCGATCCGGATCATGAACTTCACCAGCTTGTCCTGATTCTCCTTCTCAAGAGGAATCTCCATTCGGACCCTGTTGAGCGCTACGATCCCGGCCAGCAGCAGCGACACTCCCACCAGGACGTCCAGACAGAGCGGCGCCAGCACGAACCAGCGAAGAGTGTGAACATCGTACAGGCCCACAAAACACACGCCACTGATGTTATCACCCTCGATTTTATTCAGAGCCAGCAGGGTTATGGTTAGCATGCCAGGTATTCCCCACGCACTGGCGTGGAAGAGCAACGCCTTCTTCTCGATGGCTTCGCTGCCCCATTTGGGAACAGCAGCCAAGAACCAGGTGATGGTAAGGATGACCCACCAAACACTTCCCGCCATGGTAAAGAAGTACAGCACCATAAAAAGCAGCGTGCAGGCCTTGTTATGCGAGCCTTGAGTCACTGTGGACATTTTGTACTGGCTGGGATTGGATGCGTTACACGCTACACGATCCTCCAGCAGAAAGCCCAGGAAAAACACCAGCGAAACCATCATGTAGCAGACGGCGTAGAAGATGATGGGCCGCTCTGGGTAGCGGAAGCGTGTGACGTCGATGAGGAAGGTGAGGAAGGTGAAGAGCGTGGCCGAGAGGCAGACGATGGAGACGACGCCAATGAAGTAGCGGGCGAAGGTGAGCTCCTCGCGCCGGAAGTACATGTTGGGACAGGGAGGGGAGCAGTCGCGCACACTGAGAAACGTGTAGCCGAGCTCGGGCTCCACTTTGAGCTCGCGGGGGCACCAGAAGCCATAGTCACGCTGAACGGACATGGACGACTGGTCAGTGGGGTCCTCGTTCACGAGCAGATCTACAGCACGAGGGTAAGACTCATCACAGTCTGGGAACCTGCAGCAAAGAGACGAAGACATACATATTTACATATAATATTAATAATATTATATATGTGTGTGTGTTACAACATTGTTGCCACAACTTTGAATATAAAAATACATACAATGTGATATATTACATACAGCCCTATATAACACATACAAAAATTTTCCGTCTCTTCTCTTAAAATTATTGCCAATAACAATAAATTAATAATTATTTTCATGTTATGGGTCATAACTGATAAATGTCTGATATAAAAATTTCATACTTTTTTCTAAATAAATTAAATTAAAGATAAACTACAATCAATCATTTTAAACATTATAGCTGAATTAAAGCATCACAAACATTGAATTTTTAAAAATAACTAAAAATTACATTTAATAGTGTTATTAAATTATTACGTTTGTTTTTATTAGGGATGCACCGAAATGAAAATTCTTGGCCGAAGCTGAAACCGAACAAAATTAAAGACTGGACCGAAGGCCAAATACCGAACACGGCATTTTGTGATTACTGTATGATTTCCATAATCATACAGTAACCAGCAACAACAGTCTCTCGCTGTCTGCGATTTTTGTGTCTTTCTCGGACAGCTTTAAATGCTTCCACACCGCCGACATGTTTGCTCTACGCTGGTTGCTATTTGATCGAGTCACGTCATTGTTCGGTACAATTTATTGTCTTTTCACTCATTTTTTTTTATTATTTTGCTATTTTCGGCCGAATAATTTCGGTTGCCGAACATTTGGTGCATCCCCAGTTTTTATAAAATATAAAATGCAGTATAAAATATAAAAATACAGAGTATGTTATTAACTTATTTTATCAATTTTAAAATTAAGGCTGGGTATTAGGTAATATTAGGATGTTGTTTTTTCATTCTTTATTGTATTTAATAGATCATATTATTTATTGCATGTAATATGACTTGTATGTATTACATAGTTTACACTGCTCATACACAATGTACATATTTTTACAGAAAATATATTCAAATCAACTAGAATAATGAAATATTAACTTGGTAATGTTTAAAGTATAGTGTTAAAAATGCTATGTGACAGAAGGCTTGGAAGATGCTTCTTGATGCACAGCTCCACGTAACAGAGCAATATAAAGCATGTTTAATTCAGATTTTATTAAATTATTCACCCAAACTGACTTCTCTCCCCATGTTCGCCAGTAGCATAGTAAGTACTAGTAGGAAAATTAACAACAGTGCTAGCAACAGTAACTAAAGGGGGCGGGGTCAAGCTAATTATTAGTTCCATGACAGACACAACTTTTGTTATAACAAGCTCTTTCTTAATTACTTACTAGTATGTAAAGAGATTGAAACGGCCATGAGGTGCATATTATACAAAATCACAAGAAATGTTGCACAGAATTTATTGCTGCAAGTTTTGTTTCACTCAACCCTACTAAAAGGTTGATTCTGGAGTAATAAAATATGCTTTCTTTTCTGACAACTATTGCTTTGAAAGTATGTTTCCATATTACCACTGAGTGTTTGACTGCTGACTGCTAACATTAATCTGAAATATGCTGCAGACTTATTTCAACCTGGTTTGAATAGTGCACACATTTTTCCCTCTTCAGAATGACTGGTTTTCGCTGGAGATTAAAGGTTTCCCTCAAACATCTGCATTTGCTTAAACCAGTGGTTCTCAAACTTTTTCAGCAGGAAGCCCCCTTGTGTAGGGTGAATCCTTTTGTGCCCCCCCCCCCAAAAAAAAGAAAACTCATGACGCAAAACATCCTCAAACTTACAATTTTACTTACAAATTTTAGATTGACCCCCCAAAAAAAAAAATATTATTTGTACAATACCGGAACATCAATTCTGTTTTTAGCCTTAATTCTCTGATGTTGAATATACAAAATTTGTTAAATTCTTAAATTTCATAAAATATAACAAATTGTTATAAAAATTGTCTGAAAAGT